CCCCAGACGAATGCAGAGCCCACAAACAAGAAGCTTGTACAAGTCTCACATGTGGTGGGAAGTGGCAAGCCATGTATTTTCAGCATTCTTTGCCACAAGTATAAGAGAAGCACCATTACCAGTTCTTCAGTTTGTAAAGACGTTTTAAGAAGAGACTTCTGAGTCAGTTATGATCAAGTCTCAACCTGGTTGCCCTAAGTCAGCTACCCCTCACCCTGTCTGGGTTTTTCCTGCCACAAACGGCTCAGGAAAGACTACTGATCCGGTCCCTTGATCCCTTTCTTTCTTACAAGGTCCCCATCCGGCCCTTCTGCCTCTCCATCCAGGCAGTCACAAGTGCATGACAGGGCACAGCAGCTGGTGGCTCTTCTTAGTCACCCTGGTTTTGTTGGCTGAGCCTGCCTGCCTGCCTCCCTCCTCTTTCCAGCCCCCGCCTGGAAAACTACAACTTCCCTCTCAAAGAGCCAGCCCAGCTACAATTCAGGGTGCCACCGGTGAAGTTGATCCAGAGACCCAGTTGCAGAAGACCAGGCCCATATCTCTTAGGGATGCTTCCAATCATACCTTGACAAAAGTGGATTTTCGTAACCAGGAGCCATGGAGAGGCTGCATGAGAACTTACCATGTGGCACCTCTAACCATGTGGTGATCTGCCATGCGGGTTACCTCTTCTCAGTTTCCAGGCAGCTGATAAGAAGTGACAGCACAGAGCTTCCCCACATGGCTGGAGGCTACAGCCCACTTCACGGTGCATCTTATCTTATGGCACCATGACCCTTCCCGACTCTTTGTACCCCATATCAGATATTCAAGGGTAGACTAAAAAAAAGTAGGCAGCCCTGTTGGTTAACAGCAAAAATGAAAAGTAAAAGCCGTGCAATACCTTTTATTAAGACCAACCAAAATAGCACAACACAGTGCACATGTCTTTGAATTCTCCAAAATTCCTCATCAGCCTGGATGTTAAAAAAAAAAGGGTGTGTGTGGGGGGGAACGATGACAGACAGTCTCCCATATGAAATGCTTTGCTGGCTTCAATGGGCTCAGGGTGTGGCTGGTCAGTATTAGGTTGCAACCTTGGTATGTATGCCAGGAACAAGAAGTGAAAACAGGATGTCCCCCAGTTGGAAATATGTAACAGCTACATGTCTCCCAGGGGTATCCTGCCTCTGAACAGGATGGTCCCATTGAACTTTCATGGCAAATAGGCATTTACAGGCCTGATCTCCCTTCCTTGGCATACCTTGGAAAGCAAGTTATCCGAGTGACCCACAGGCATGCACCTGGCTGGCATCTGGAGAAGCTACAAAGGGCACTTAGGAGCCATCCAGGGAACGGTTCTTTGCCTGTCAAGCCAAGCATTCAGCTGGACCACCTATCATATGAGTCCTGGAGCTGGAGGAGGCCTTCAAACTCAGTGCAGGAAATGCAAAGTTAGGGCACTCCTGACCAATGGCTACCCAGCCTCTAGCTGAAGACCTACAGGGAGGGGCAGCCGTCTAACTCTGGAGAT